GAAAGAAAACAGACCAGTGCTTAAGAACTAGGATGGGGAAATGAGTTGATACAAAGGGCACAAGGGAAATTGGGGAGTGATGGAACTGTTTTGTTTCTTAACTGTGGCTGTGATAAACAGCTATGTTTATCAAAACTCATAGAAATGAATTTCATTGTATATGTAAATCATATCTCAATTTTTAATAATTTTATTGATTTCAGAGAGGAAGAGAGAGATAGAAACATCAATGATGAGAGAGAATCATTGATTGGTTGCCTCCTGCACACCCACCACTGGGATTGAACCCGAAACCCACATGTGCCTTTGACTGGAATCAAACCTGGGACCCTTCAGTCCGAAGGCCGACACTCTATTCACTGAGCCAAACCAGCTAGGGCTCTCAATTTTTTAAAAATCTCATGACTTTTAAACTTTAAAAGGAGGCAAAACTAATATATGGACATCAGGAAAATAGTAATTTTGGGAAGGGAGAGGATGCCTTCTGAGAGGCCGGGACACTCTACTTCTTGACCTGGGTAATGGTTGCTCAGATGTGTTTGCTTTGTAATAATTCACTGGGCTGTACTTAAGAATTGTGCATTTTCTGTGTATTCTATTTCATTTTGAAAAAGAAAACAGCATATATCTGGGATCTATGATATCTGCTTAAATGTAATGAGACAGACATATTAATCATATAATCACATCAGTTAATACATAATTACAAACTGAGAAAAATGTTTGAAGGGGGAGCCAGGAGATTCCACAGAGCTGCACGTTGGGGGTCAGTTCCAGTGTCGGGAGCTGCCCTGACCCCTTGAAACTTGTGTGGAGACGCCAGGGAAGGATGGCGTTAACATCGGGGGAGGCAGCTTGAAAAAACGCTTTCCAGATAGAAAGAACCACAAGCGTGGTCCTTCTAAGAAGAGAAGAAGGATGGGCAGCCTCGACCTCCCCATCTGTCAGGTGGTCTGCAGGTCTGCCATGTGACGAATTGAATGTCAGTAAAAAAATTTTAACAAGGATGGGGTCAAGGATAGGTAACCAGGCATAGCTCCAAGTCTCCCACTCCCAGACATCGGCGCGTCAAGGTCCTGATTAGACCCTTGTAACTGTAAATCAAGGACATTTGTAGTTTCTGTGAATAAAAGCTTGCCAAGCACTAAGCTCGGGGCTGCTGCAGGAGGAGAAAGCCTGTGGCAGTCACTGGCCAGTTCAATAAATCCTCACTTGCTGTTTAAGACCTAATTGGAATCGGTGGTCTTGTTCTCACGAATGTTGGTCCACAACATGCCACAGTTAGGATTGTCTCCTTTCCCTGCACCAGACCAACCTTCTTTCAATCTCACTAGGACAGACATTGCGGGACACAGGGAGTCAGAGACCAAGCAGGTCTAGCTTGCACTTATTTCCCTCTCAAGTGCCAGAGCTCTCCCAGTGGGTCTGTGTGGCTTCCAGTGTGGGGGGCCACTGGTAGGCACAATGGGCATTATTAAAAATATTGTCAACTGAACCAGGTCACAGGGTCAATAACAGAGCCAAGAATCTCAGGCCCAATCTCCAGATTTTCAAATCCAATGTTCAATCTCCTCTTCCCCTCGGCACATTTCTACACGTGTCCATAGAAGGAAGTTCTATGAACACTGCTAACCTGTTTCCAAGTGAGAGCAGTCAGCTCTTGAGGAGAAACATATTAACCACCTATGGCATGGATAAGAATAGATGATGCTCAAAATCATTTGATGTGTTTGGGCATGCTCCCCTGCTGCCCAAGAACTCTTCCAGACATGGATGTCCCATTTTCCTTGAAAGCTTTCCCAACTTTCCCAGACATCTTATCAGCAATCCTACGAGGTCCCTTGTATCCAGCCCAGGAGCAGTTATTTTGGAAAGTTTTAAATATTTACTGAAATTGATCCCCATGTTATTAGCAGCCAGGTTGCTGTGATCAACCCATGGCCATGCTTGTTTCATCTACCCACTTCCCGCTCTTGTATACTTAGAAGATGATTCCAGACATTATGTCACTTTGTCTATAAATATTCTAGCACTAGAGACCTGGTGCACGAAATTCATGCATGGGGGGCAGGGGTTCCCTCAGCCCAGCCTGAACTCTCTCATAATCCGGGACTGCTGGTTCCCAACCGCTTGCCTGCCTGCCAGCCTGATCACCCCTTAACCACTCCCTTGCTGGCCTGATTGACGCCTAACTGCTCCCCTGCCAGCGTGATTGGCCCCAACTGTCCTCCCCTGCTGGCCTGGTCACCCCTAACTGCCCTCCCCTGCTGGCCTGTTTGCCCCCAACTGCCCTCCCCTCCTGGCCATCTTGTGGCAGCCATCTTGTGATGACATGGGGGTTGCCATCTTATGATGACATGGGCATGGTCATCTTGTGCGAGAGTGTGATGGTCAATTTGTGTATTACCTCTTTATATATAGGATTATATAGGATGTATCTCTAAAAGGTAAAGACACTTTAAAAATACCCACAAAGCCACAAATCTCCTAAAAATTTTAAAGTTGAAGTTAACAATTCCTTAATATAATTAAATGTTCTTGTAGTGTTCAATTTTCAAATATCTAGGAAGTCTCTCTTTTTTCTACAATTTTCTTGAGTCAGGAACCAAATACTTTTGCCATTGGTTGATAAATGGTTTAGATTTCTTTTAATCTATCAGTTCTGCCTCAATTTCCTCCTGAATTATTTGTCAAAGACACTACGTCATTTGTCCTGCAGCTTTCCCACGGTCTGGATCTTGCTGATTGCATCTCCATGATGCCGTTAACATGTTTTTCTGTCTCTTGTATTTCCTCTACATTCATTTCATTATAACTTTCTCTTCATGGTCTCTCCCTCGCTAGACCGTGAGCTCCTGCAGGTCAGTACTGGCGTTTTATTTACCTTTGCCTCCCCAGAGCTTAGCACTGTAGGTGCCCACTAAATGGGGGAAGAGATAAATGAAGCTGTGTGTTCTTTCCTCCAGTAGGAAAAGGGAAGGCCCTAGAGTCCCGGCTGGATCTTGCCTCTACCTTTTGTTCTTGGGGGGCGGGGGGGGGGGCGGCTGGGCAAGTCACTCAACCTCCCTTGGGCTCAGTTTCCTTATTTCTAGAATGAAAACAATAATAGTTAGCTCACCTCCTAGGGATGATTTGGGACTTAAATGAGGAAATACATGTAAAATGCTTAGCATTACTTTCTGGGGTTGGGTCTTGCCTTTGATTTGTAAAATATGAAACATTTGTGAAGCTCAGTAAAGCGAAGCGCAGTAC